ATTTGTCGATATTACACGAATGTTAAAAAACAAATTCACAAATGCAGTATTTCTGTTAAAGTCACACACGATAAGTCATTAAAGAACATATGTTGCCATCATTATAATAGTTACTACTTCCTGTCGTCTTCTTCTTCAGCGTTTCCACCAGTATCAACATCCGGTTGTTGATCATATGACTTGTGATGTGAAAAAAGTGTTTCTATTGCAGTTTTTGCAAAATACACAAGCAAACATGTTTTAAAATTCACCAGACACAGACACACACCTGCAGTTTTATTACATTTTCATTAGATTTTTATTAAAAGAACCTGAGTTGACTTTTTACCATTTTTTTTTACTCTTAGTTGAATAATTTCTTAGATGGCTACTTTGTACTACTTTTACTTGAGCAAAATATTTGGGTTCTCCACCTACAGAAAAATACCCACTCAGACATCTTACAGACCAGTTAAATGAATTAGGATAGTATTGAAAAGCACATTTGTTTTAGAAACTTTATCAGATGTTAAGTATGCTTTTTTGTGTTTTCCTTACAAATGTGCACAAAACTTTGTCAATATTCCGCTAATGCCAAAAAATACAATTTCGCAATTTCTGTGTTTCCATTATCTAAGAAATGCAGTTTATATCACACATGAATAAGTTTGTTCATGGGATAAGTCATTAAAAAACATGCCATGCTATCCTCCTAATACCACTTCCTGCCGTCTTCTTCAGCGTTTCCACCAGTAGTAACATCCAGTTGTTGAACATGTGGAAAAAAAGTGTTTCCATTGCAGTTTTTGCGAAACACATAAATACGGCTGTGAAACTATTTCTTCTTAGCACGAGAACCTTTTATCAAAAAATGTGAGTTTGTTTGAAATTATTACAAATTATTTTTGTAATTCCAGTCGTATGGTCAGTGGGAACCCAGCTATTGGCTAGATGAGTTGGTTGCTTTTTGAAATTTTTTAGCCCACTTCGTGTTGTCAAACAGGAACAGCTTGAGGTCTTTCCTGATCCTACTTGTCTGTAAATTTGACCAAAAAATACTATGGGTGTAAAAATGCAGACGGGTTTATTTTCCCATTGGACCAGGTTGGTTTGGATGCAAATTTCATTAGAAAACAACTTTTTGAAATCATAAAATAAATTTAATCTTCAATTTCTGTCTTCAATTTGAGCAGAATTATAGATAATTGTCCAGCATCAACCAGAAAACGAGAACTAGAAGCTCCAGGTCCTGATTATGGCTTGAAAAACTCCGACCATGAAGCCGCATTTCAGCCTCGCGCTGTACTTTTATTCACCACAGGGATTTTTAGAACAAAATACGCTCTGGAAGAGGAAATTGCCTGAAGAGTTGCACATTGTGGGAGCTTTATTTGGCGAAAGAAAGACAGATGTATTTAGCAAGCAGGAGATGCGGAGTACTTTGGAGATATTTATTGCCTGTAAAGAGGCGTTTGCGGCGCAGCGCCGAGATCCTGTGAATATGCTCAGAGACAGCGATTCACAACGACTGATATTATGAAACGTCTTGTTTCTTTATTATTCTGCTGCTCGGCTTGAATTCAGCGCCGGAGAGATAAAAAGAAAGCCTGTACAACCTGTCATGCTGTTGTTGAAATATTAACTCGGAGACAAAATGAAATATGATAAGTGCTAAAGGAAAAAAATCAATATGACTTTTTTTTTTTTTTTGCTCTTCAGCTCGTCTGAGAAACCTTGAAAGGTTGAACTTTAATCTGATTTGCTGGAGGCAAAAGAAAACTTAGAGCAGGAGGAACACATGGAGGTGTTGGGTTGACATTCATGAGGTCCAGAAAATCCATCAGATACATCAACCCACTTACAAACAGAAGCCTGGAAAAGTTTTCACCCCCTCAAACATCTTTCTGTGGAGAAAGCTGTTTAGCTAGCTTCCACAATATATGGCTATACAAAGCATATTTATTAAATAAATCACTTATTTTCCACATCTTAACAAAATTGTGTTGGTATTTTTGTGCATTTACATTAAAACACTGAAGGATCTATTCAGATATTTAGTCAAATGTGACGTTTCATGCTGGTTTGAAGAGGTTGGGATGCTTCTATGGGATAAACAAAACATGTTAATTACATTTTTTGCACAAAATAATTCTTAGATAATGAGGTTTTAGTCAGAAGGCCTCTTGTCACTTTAAATCCAAATAAGCTGCTCCTGGCCACGCCCCCCAAACTCAACATTTATGCTCACGCATTGCAACAGCTGCAGATACATGCGAAATAACGCAACCATACATCTCTGAAAAGCAGAAGTGGAGCCTCCCACACAACCAAAAATAATGCAACAAGTGGTTTCTGGATTGTAAGCAAACAGCAAAACACTTGTCTTTTCCAGCAGCCATTGTACATCACACACACAGATAGTTTTTCCTCATCATAAATTCAGTCACTAAAACTGATCTTTGTATTTACTCCAGTTATTTGAAACATTAAACATTTATAAGAAGTAATAAATCTATTCGGGATAAATATTTATTTTTTAACCATTCGTTGCTCTTCCTCCTGATTCCCTGATTTCTGCCCTGAAGCGCACACACCTCGTTTTTCATACTTTTCCGCTCTTCTCGGCGGTTTAACGCCTGTGTAATCTGTGTTGTCATCATCGAGGCGTTTCCCTCCAGGGCGTGGCGTCCTCCCAGGGGAAGTGATGCGTACCAGGCCTCAGACAGATATATGCGCCGCTTTATCTCCCTGTTAGCTCTGCAGCCAAGTGAACTGTAGAAAAAAACCTGAGAAAAATGCATCAGCAGCTGCAGCGCCGAAGATCCCCTCCTCCTCTTCCTGCTTTAGGCTCCGAGTCAGCAACAAGTCTTGGGAATCCATGCAAAACAAATACTATTAATAAACATGGTGCTCGCATATCCTCGCTGCTGAGATCTGTGGGTTTTAGAGAATTCAACAAAGTGGCAGAAAAATGGCTCCACAGATGGAGATCTGATCAGAAATGGCACCTTTTCTCTGCAGAGAAGGTGTGAAGCAAACAGTAAATGTTCGATATAAGCGCTTTATTTTATAGAAATTCATCTTGGTTGCTCATATGAAGTTTGTGTTTTCTCATTAGAACATGAATAATCTTGTCAAATCTCTAAATGAGACGCATTCGATTGACTCAAGGGGGAAAAATGGTAAGAAAACCCCAAATACTAAAAGCAAAACTGATTATTAAGTAAAAATATATTATTTACAGGGGGAAAAATAACATATTCAAAGCATGAAAGGTGTGTAAATTACTTTTTAAATCAAAGTAGATGCTTTTTATCAAGCCAGTTTTAGCAAGTTGGTTAAAATGACCAACATTTTTATTTTTGTCAAAAATAAAACAAATGAGAGAAAATAAAGAAAAACAAAACAATCTCAGGACGGCATGTTCCCATCCCTGCAAAAATAGAGAAAAGATAAATATTTAAATAAAAAAGAAAATATTTAAATAAAATGACAGAGATAAAAAAAAATACAAATTAGCAATACAAACAAAAAATAACTATTAAAAATTATGTCAAATAATTTTTTTTATTTAATAAAAAAACAAATAAAAAATTAAGATTATATCTAAATAAATTTTTTAAATTATAAATTAAAAATGTAATTGAAAGAAAAACATTTTCCAGGGTTCCTGTTATTTCAGACGTGTCCATCTGGAACAACATTGAGTTCGTTTGTTTAGTTTCTTTTCTATAATTTGTGTTGGACGTTTTTGGTTTTCTGCCACCAGTTTGAGTCCAGCTTCCTGGTTGCTTCAATATTATTTTCCTCGTCTTTCCAATCATCATTATGACTAAATATTTCACTTTTAGTTTAATCAAAAAACAAGATTTGTCTCAAAGATCTTTCTCTTTGTCCTTGACTTTGTTTTCAAACTAATTTGGCTTTTCGTGTTTCTTTTGGAGCGGCGGCTTCTTCCCCACCGAGCGGCATTTCAGCCCAGAACTCAGTTTATTTTCCCCACAGCAAAATTCAAGCATTCGACTGGAAGTTTGGACACATTTTGGAGACGAAACAATCCAAATCAACTGCAAAGAGACAGTTTAAATCTGCTTTAATAATATCTTGTGATTTTATTCTATGCTGCACAGCAGGGACAAACAAAATGCAACGTTTTGAAATTTGAATGTGTAAAACACCAGCCGACCTTTATTTAAATTACACAGATCAATAAATAATTGAGCCATCAGGATTATTAAATATTCAATACAAAGCATTCAGCAAATATAAATAATTTAACTGACCTAAAAGAAGAAAAGTTTAATTTCAGACGGTGAGGAAAAAAAGTCTTTAAGTGTAAATATCTGGTTTCAGCTGTAAACTGACGACACAAACCCTCATTTAACTTATAATTATAATTTTATCTGGCGCCAAAACGGTGAGAATAAAAAATGTTCTGTCTTTTTGCTCCGTGTTTGTAAATATCAGTAAAAATCCCTGCGAACGGCGGTGATGGACGCGTTTCATCGAGCTAAACTCAGGCCTCTTCTCTTTCCAGCAATGTGAGTATTTAAATGGAAGGAAGAGCAGACAGTGTCATTTATTTCACTTCCAGTTTCTATGGATTCATTTTTATCCATTTTTTTTTGGTTATTTCCTTCTTGCCTGGAGGGACAACAGTGTAACTCGACTGGAGCTGCAGCTGGCGATGCCACTGCTGAACCCTGGAGTTCATAAATACCGAGCAAGAAGAATGTGGAAAAGTAATAGAATATGAAGAAGCAATAAAAACCTGCTAAAGAAACTGGAGTTGAGGAGAATATCTTATTTTTATTTTAATACGCGGTGACTCTCAGCAAGCTGTTCCTGCTGCTGTTTTACCAGGAGGATAGAAATGAAAGATAAGGCCAGCGGAAACAAAGACACAAAAAGAGTTGAAACGAAAACACGGCTGTGATTATGTGGTGCGTTTCTCTGCAGATAAGCCTGCAGGTTTTTCATTTCTGCTTATGGATTTGTTCTGTTTTTGTCAAACGTCAATATTTCAGATAAACCTCCAGATGCTCCAACCTGAAGGGGCGGTCCGAGTTTTCCACGGCCGCAGGCTGAAAGAGGCTTTAATGACCCACTTCAGAGGAATCATCCTCGCCGAACTGCAGACTGCGCTTTTGATGAAGCTTAGGATCCCGTTTTTCAGTTTTATGCTACTTTTAAACTCAATGCACACAAAACATCTACTAGGGCCAAAAGTAGACCAAAGTAAAACAAACAGCAAATTTTCACCAAAAATCACGTTTGTGTCCAAGAATTTTACCTAAAGTCACAATTTTGCAAGATAAATGTGATAAATTTGTTTGTTTGAAGGCATAAATTTATTAAACATGTTAGTTTATCAGCTTATTTTAAACATTCCATGTATGCTTAGTAAAGACTGTTCACCTTTTGAGCTGCGGCAAATAAAAGCTAAATTTTATGTCAAAAATGGGAAAGAAGTATAAACAAAACTTAAAGCTCGGATATTCTCTGGCATTGTTATGTTAGAAGTTTGCTAAAGGCTAAAGTGAAGCAACGGCGTCAATGTAGGTAGAAAAATTATATAGGAGTACATTCCTGCCAAAAAAACTTTCTAGAGGAAACAAATTTGAAGTCAAAAATTTGCTAGGAAAAAAAACACAAAGTTTGAGGCTAAGCTCAGAAATCGGCTAGAAAAAAAACCCCAAAAATTTCCAAGATTTTTGTAAAAAATTTGAGTTTTTTCAAAAAAAAAAAAAAAAAAATTCAGTCTCAAAAATGTTCATGTTTTTTCCTCCTTAAAATTACTGAGATTTTCTAGCAATTTTTAAAATAGATTTTTCTGAAAGAAAGGCAGAACTTTTGAGATCAAACTCAAAAATCTGAGGAAAAAAGATGGAAATTTCTGAGATTGATGTCAAAAGTTCTGCGTTTCTTTCTTGCACGTTTTTGACTTCAAATTCAAAAATTTACGTTTGTTTTTTATTTCTGAGATTAATCTCAAAATTTCTGAGCAAATGTTTGACTTTTCAAACTCAGAAATGTTTCTGATATTTTGGTAAAAAATTAACTCCTTTTTTTAAATCGGAGATGTGATAATCCCTGTCATAAAGCATGTTGTAGAGTTTAATTCTTCAAAAGTCTGTTACTCTCCAGTTGATCCAAATGTTATTGCATATCATTGTATATTGTCACATTTTTGGGATTTTTCGGTCTCAATCTTGTAAGAAACTTAAAATCAAAGAAACGGCAACATGAAAAACAATTTGGTTTTTGTACCTAGAGAAAGCAACTTTCATATTAAATCTCCAGCATTTCGACGCTGATGTCAGATTTAGGATTCAGAGTTCCCATTTCAAAAGCAGCGTTGCTCCACAGAAAATGGATGAAGGGTCAAGTTTGAGCTGCGGCACTTTCAAAGAGGAGCTCTTGGGTTATTTTTATTTTTGCATCATTTCAGGCAGTAACCTCTCCATCACGACAAAAACAATCTGAAAAACCTCGAGCTCTCTGAGCGACAGACGTGTTTCTAAACACTCAGCCTGTCCTTGTGGACATTATTGACATTTTTCTCTTTTTTTTCAAATTAGAAAGAAAACAAAACCCTCGTAACAATGAGTCTGAAATAACGATGACATCAAGCAATTTAAAGGCAGCTGCTAATGCTCAGTGCTTTAATGCTAAAGTGTAGAATAAAAAGGAGATCTAGCTATAAATACGCTGATAAAAATATTTGCAAATGTAAAATTGTATTTAATCATAACCCATTGTGTTTAATATGAGCTTTAAATCTTCTGGGAAGACTTGCATAGTCTCTCCATGTTCACCGTATTATCAGTGGTGTAAACAGACCTAATAATCTGGTTTCCCTTGACATCTCCAACAATGGATTGGTTCTAAAACTCCCCACAGTTTTGTCCAGGCTGGTTTAGATTTGGCCCTTAACCCCTTTAAATGCTCTGGACGATGGTTCATCAATGCTTTTTCAATTTAGAGAGAACACCACCAGTCAGACTGCAAGGAACCTGACTCTACCTTCCAAGGAGTTGACCTGCCTCCCACAGGTAGGGCCTGTGGTTTATGTAGCCCCACTTTTTCTTCCAAAAATGGATCGGTTCGTTCTAAAATGGTTTGGTTTCCGGAGCTCTGAAGGAGACATGGCTCAGCAATGCTTCTTGGGGATATTGGTTGACAAAACTTGCTTTAGATCATATTTTACCTTCCCAGGAGTCTCTTTGAGGTCGTGTCTGTCTCCACTTTACCGGTTTATTGGATTTATTGTGAAGCTGTGAGACTCTTCCACCATCAAACTGTGATTTGGAGGAACCTCTTTCTTTTTGCTTCCCCATCCAAGAGGAAACTTTTTCAGTGCATTTGGCAAATCTACAAACCATGAAAACCATACCAGCTGCAGACCAGAAAATCTTCAATGAACGAACCAGCAAGTGGAGGAGAAATCCCATATCGGTGCAGAGAGTGTACAGAATGACTCAAGGTTTACTTGTTTCACAAAGCTGCCAGCAACAATCTGTCAGAAAGCTTCACTCTGTGTCTTATTCGAACGTTCACCAGTCTGAGGAGGAAAACCTTATCAAGGAGATGAGAGCAACTGTGATAAATTCGCTGCATCCAGCTGCATCCAGCTGATAAGAACAAAATTATATTCTCTCTACATGCCTGCTCTAATTAAAAACAGTCTCTCAGGTTCCAGCAAGTCACCATGTGACGTGTTTTAATCTTTGTTAAAAAAAATGATGCAAGAACCGCATCAAATTCTCAGATTAGGTTTCCCAGTTCTTGAGTTGATAAATAATATCATCCCTGCGCCCTCTTCTTCTGGACCACCTGCTGCGTTCAGTCTGCGCGCCGAAGCCGGCATCATCAGTATTCATCCGGATCCTTCCACCTCATGTCGCTCCCCGCAATGCAGCCCTCGGGGCATTAATGGTGAACCTTTACCCACATGGGACCTGTTGGTCTCTCTGACACCTGTCTCCCTCAGGTTGACCCCAGTCACGCCTCGGATCACGCTACGATGCCTCCCAGTCTGGATCTGTCGGCACGGTCCGGCGTTGATGGGCAGCTCCAGAGAGCCGACATGCAGATTGGAGAAACTAAAGGAAATAATCCGGAGGAGGAAAATGTAAAAGTATGAGAAGAAAGATGATGTTTATTTGCACCAAAGCCTGGTCACTTGCACGCTCTGCTTGGCTATTGATTGTCAGGAGTTTATTAATCTAAAAAGTTTCCAAGAAAGACTTGGGGAAAGGCCACCGCTCAAAAAAACAAAAAAGAAACAATCTTGGCAGAGAAAAATCAATGCCTATTTCCATACATAGGACTGTATGTGATGCTGAAAGCTTTATTTTCGCTTCAGTCTGAGAAAACATGCAAGAAATATCCCAGATTTACTTTTACATGACCATAAGAAAGCAGATAAACTGAGTATTAATCTCCATATAAATCTGTTACTACAGTTTATATTTCTAATTTAAACTGTACATCTTGTTTTTAGGAGTTAATCGTTTGGTCACCATGTTATGCTAACAACTGCAAATCCACAAAATCTTAGTATTTTTGGTCTAGTTTCTAGGTTAAAAGTCTGACTGTACTTAAAATAGGACATTAACTTATAATTAAGTTTCCAGCAAGATATAGGAGCTTGTTTTAAGTCAGTAGATCCTAGCTAGCTAGCTTTTTTAGCTAGCTACTTTTTCTCCTACCTCCATTGGTTCTGCAGAAACCAGAACCAATGGTTCCTGCTAATAATGCTGCTAATATACCCGTTCTAGCTAGTAAGGGTGTGTTAGCAGCTATTTACCATTAACTGCAATGGCCTTGAGTTACAAAATGCGATGAAGCGATTCCACAAGAAAACAAAAACATAGAAAACGAGATTAAATCGTCTGGCCACAACTAAATGTAAGAGCTATGATTAACTTATTTAATGCCAGTGTAATATTTTAAAATGAATTTAAGACATTTTAAGGCCTTAAGATCTGTGTTTAACATATTTAAGACTAACTTGGCTATTTAAATATTAATTTAAAACATTTTAAGCCTTTAAGAACATATTTAAGGTCAACATAACTTTTTAAAATGAACTTAATACATTTAAGGCCTTACAACCTATATGTTAACATATTTATGGCATTAAAATGGCCTTAAGTTTCCATAGAATATGATATTAAATAGTCCAGCCACATTTTAAGGCCTTGAGTTTAAGATACATTAATTTAAGACTTTTTAAGGATGTGCAGACATCCTGCACTAAAGATTTGTGTTTGAATTGTGAGAAAACCTGCAAACATTTGAGGAACTCTTTGATATAAACAATGAGTTTCCTGTGAATTTAATACAGCTGTTAAATCAATTAGTAAACAGATGATAATCAGAAACAGACACCTGTTTTGCAACAAAACCACTGATGTAGACACATCCCCTACCACTTCACGCTGAATAAATATCTGTCAGTAGTCTTTTAAACATGTTTGGATGAATTATTTATCATCGAAGGCTCCTGCTTCCCATTCTTTCCACTCTTACCTGCAAAGTTGGACCTTTTTTCTTTTAGCTGACGCGGCAAACCGTTCACTTGTTCCACACAATTATCCATGAAAGTCACTCTGTGTTTTACATCCCAACTGTTCAAAGTAAATTACCTCACAGCAGCAAGAAGCGCCTTAAAAAAGGCAGCTGAGGAGAAGTACACCAGGCTGAAGGACATATTTACCCACTTATGTGGAAATTTAAACAGAGAGGTAGTTTCCTTTTTGGCTAAGCTGCTTTGTCCATATCAGTGTGCAAACCGGTGTCTTGGAAAACTTCTTGGAGAGAATGTCAAACAGCTTCCAAGCCAATTAGGAGATCTACTCCCTGCAGCAAGGCCTGGTTCTTCAACCCTGAGGACTTTACCTACCAGGTAGAGCCTGTTAAAGCTCTGCAGGGAAATGTCCAGGAGCCTCAAACCAGCGGAAAATGCTTCTGTCAATCTGTTTCCTGCTGTTCAATCCTAACGTACTTCTGCTATAAATAAGTATATCTTCTCAGTTTGTATCATAGAATGCAATATACCGTTTATTGTCACTCTACCCTTTGAGGTTACGGCTGTTTCGACTTCTGGGAAAGCTTTTCATGAGGTTTAGGGCGCTGATGTTGAACAAGAAGCTCTAGCTCCCTAAAATGCTCTATGCATAGTTACCGCAAGTCTCCACTGGAAGTGATCCGCGCCATCTTGGTAGGCAAGACCGGACCCATGGCTTCAAGACCAACAAGAAGAAAATATGTAGACACTAAAGCGATACATGAACAAAATGGCTGCTGTTGGGATCAACCCGTATAAGACGGAGATGTAAAATATGTCAGACGATGTGGATAAGCTGCCTCCG